AGTTCCAAATGCGAATCCGTTAGCAGAAATAAGTAAGGGTATCAAAGCGGTGACATTTGATGAAAGCCAAACCAGTAAAAAGAAAGATCAAACGAAAGTTAAAAGCGGTGCCAATAAACAATATCGCCATGTTCCAAAACTATGTCTTGACTCATTGGATCCTTCTTTGCAAATGTCAAAAGAGAGAACAAGTTTATCCAGATCAATTCAAAATATGTCATTAAGTGATGATAAACGGCGAGATATAAGCAAATTGTCATCGAGCATTGATTTAACAGAGATACAAAGTGGAAATGAAAACAAGCGTTTGCCAGTAACCATGTTGCGTCTTTTCTCTGACGCTTCAACATTATCAAATGGTACGGAATCAGTTGATTTAGATTTAATTGAAGACACAAAAGATCTGTATGAAGCACATGCAAACAATCTGAATGATTCAAAAGCTACGAAAGAGCGTATAAAAGAAAAGAAGGTTCTTAACAATGCAAACATACCTTTTGTATACCCGTCTACAAGTAAGGGTAAGGCGAAAAGACATTGAAATTGTTGTTATGGTTTGTGTGTCAAAGTTGTAATATTTATTAGATGTTGAGTGTAGCGGCATGGCCGAATGGTTTAGGCCTCGGACTAGTAATCTAATGATTGCTAGCCGCATTGATTCAAACCCCCTAATGGGCATGTCGTTGTTTCCTTGAGCAAGAAACTTATCACTCATTGCTTAGTACTGTTCGGTTCAAGGAACGGATTCGAAAGTGTGTCTTTAAACTTATAGCTTCCTACATTAACGAACTAAAATGAGCCGTGTCACGACAAAACCAACATAGTGCGTTTGCGACCAGCATGGATCCAGACCAGCCTGCGCATCCGCGCAGTCTGATCAGGATCCATGCTGTTCGCCTACAAACCCTATTACAAGTAAAGAAACTGAAAGCGAACAGCATGGATCCTGATCAGACTGCGCGGATGCGCAGGCTGGTCTGGATCCATGCTGGTCGCAAACCCACTATGTTGGTTTTGTCGTGACACGGCTCAAATAAATTCCGTATAAAACAATAATTTTTTCGTAAATGTTGATTTTTGACCACTGGTGGTCCTGTTATACTGAAAACTAGTCTCCTTACATCATACTTCTATTGTTAAAGTTGTTTCATACATTAGATAATAGATACATGAGCCGCGTCACGACAAAACCAACATAATGGGTTTGCGACCAGCATGGATCCAGACCAGCCTGCACATCTTGGCAGTCTGATCAGGATCCATGCTGTTCGCTTACAAACCCTATAATAAGTACAGACGAACAGCATGGATCCTGATCAGACTGCGCGGATGCGCAGGCTGGTCTGGATCCATGCTGGTCGCAAACCCATTATGTTGGTTTTGTCGTGACGCGGCTCACACCTGCTTTACTTTGTAAAAGACGAGAGTCTGTTTCCTGTTTTATTGTTTCATCACTGAATACACTGAACAACGCTATTTTAAATGGATAGACTTGTTATCGATCTTTCAATCAGGACAAAAACCATTCATCATTTTTAGGAAAAAAAATCAAAGTGACTGTATAGCGCATTGGGCAGAGTGCGTATAATCTGTTGCCGCCATCAGGCAAAGGGCAAAATGGCATATTTATACTTCAGTCTTCAATCAAACCAAGCCTGCAACTTTTTCAATTTTTTGTCATCTTGGGCGTTCTTTAGCGATTCCGTTTTTCTCTATCCGTTATATTTTGTCAATACCATCACATTGCATTTATAAACTTTGCACATTAATTTTAAGTTGAAGAATTGATAAATTTGTTTTCGTTATAATATATGTGTCAATAATAAAAGTACATAAATAATGCATGAATAAAGTCGTTTTGTTTTACAACCACTTTGATTAAAAAGTAGAACATATCTATAGACGGATGTTACTTAATCCTAAATTGCAACTTTTTCAATGATGAATGTGAATTCAGATGTGCTCTAGTGTATCAGACGAAATACAGAAACCTACAGGTCAACAAATTCGGTCAATTGACATTTTCAATTTGACCGTTTCTGTCGGCTTTCAGGTTTCCGTATTTCACCTTTTACACTTTCATTGTGTCCACGTATATTGATAATTGCTTTCGTGTATACGCATATTTAAAATATCCATTCGTATACTCGCATATTGATAATACGCATTCGATATAACGAATTCGTTTATTCACTTATTGATAATACCTATTCGTATATTCGCATATTTATAGTACTCATATGTATTTTCACATAATGAAAATACGAATTTGATAAAACACAAACGTAAACTAGTATTATGCTCATTTTTTCATTGCCAATCTGAGTTAAATTAGTTGTATATTTCAAATGATTGACTATTATAATGGCGATTGAACAATCATTGATAATGGTTTAGGGTAAAATACAAAAACTGCCTAAAATATCAAAAGACTGCAAATCTTTCAATAAAATGAACATTACGATAATTTCCGAAGAAAATTCATTGATATTTATATGGGTCACAGGGTTACTGACTGCTAAGGTCACGTATATCATAAAATTGAAAACAACTTTGACAAAATGTTATTTATTTTACCGAAGCACTCATCCTTTTTCTTTTGGATGGGCATAATGTCACTTTAAGTTCATATATTCATATACCTTGTTAATTTGTTCTAAGATACGCACTTAACAAAGGTCTCGAAGAAGTAATGTCAAATTCTTTGTTCCAAAAGTAATATTGCAACACAGTGTACGAAAATTAAATATCAATTTATTTACAATCAATCAATAACAAAACTATCAACAATAAACAAATGATCTATTATGATAAACATCTAAACAAAAAAATGTTTTAATAATTTGATATAATTATGATAAATTTTATTACATTTTTTGATGAACTTTTTAGATGCGTTGCGCAAGATACTTGCAAATTCACATGAAACAAACTTCAAAACCGCATTTGATTTGAACTTGCCATGCCTGTAGACAATGCCATAAATATCATACAATCTAATACCTAATGCAGTTGTCTAGGGTTGTATTTACAATAATGGAGGCATGTATGCACTTATACTGTATGTAACTACATTAAAAAGTGACTATATAAGAAGTTTCACATTTAAACAGTTCTATGTTATATGAGCCGCATCACGACAAAACCAACACAGTGCGTTTGCGACCAGCATGGATCCAGACCAGCCTGCGCATCCGCGCAGTCTGATCAGGATCCATGCTGTTCGCTTACAAACCCTATAACAAGTAATAAACTGATAGAAAACAGCATGGATCCTGATCAGACTGCGCGGGTGCGCAGGCTGGTCTGGATCCATGCTGGTCGCAAACCCACTATGTTGGTTTTGTCGTGACACGGCTCATATTTGTTTCATTTCTATCACATGTCCTTTCTACTTAGTATTGTATTCTGTCGAATGTCTTTCGACAAATGGTAGTGCACTACAATTAGTGATGAAATTCGAATATGTGCTGATGGTAGTTTTATTGATAAAGCTAGTAATTGTGGTGATATTATACTAAGGAATGAAGAAGGTAAAAGTAGTATTGGTAGATTTAGTCATGAAAGTAGTGATAGTTGTGATGTTTAGGGATGAAGAAGGTAAAAGTGGGGATGACATATTAAGTGATCATGATGAATTCGGTGAAAGTGGGGATTGTAGATTTTAGTTGTTTTTCTTTTTGTTGTTTGTGTGCTCATCTAAGTGTCTTTTTAACTTCACCTATAAATGCGTTATCAACATGTATGCGATATTCAAGGTCTGATTAAATCAAAATCTTCGGTCACCTCCCCGTGCCAATAGCTCTGTCCATGAATTTTGTAGTGTATTGAAGGTACTTACAAACTTGAGTATAACATGTCATTTTCCTAGAAATAACGTATCTTGAACTGCTGTGGACGACAAAATAAAATACATATGAGCCGCGTCACGAGAAAACCAATATAATGGGTTTGCGACCAGCATGGATCCAGACCAGCCTGCGCATCCGCGCAGTCTGATCAGGATCTATGCTGTTCGCTTACCAACCCTACTACAAGTAGAGAAACTGATAGCGAACAGCATGGATCCTGATCAGACTGCACGGATGCGCAGGCTGGTCTGGATTCATGCTGGTCGCAAACCCACTATGTTGGTTTTCTCGGGACGCGGCTCATATATTAATATAAGACCTAGACCAGTCATTGGTATCTCTAACTATACGGCTGGTTTCACTCAGTTTGTCCGCGTTTGTTGAAATAATAACAACTATGACCTTGATCAAGTGCATTTGAATTAATGGCCTACTTTTCTTATTTGTTAAAATGACATGTTATGGTACATTGTAAGTTTAATACACATTCTTTTACATATTAACATCCTACTGCCAGACTCCATTTCGGACAGACATATGTTTAACATAAAATTTACCTGTAACGGATAGACTCCCATTTTTAAAAAACAAAGTTACCTATGTGATGTAACAACTTTGTTATGACGAACCATGCTCGGCGCTATCTGAGACTTAAAGCATTTGCGGGGGATGATTGTAAAAACAACAAAATAACGAAACAATTTAAAAAGAATACCCAACAACATCTAAATAAACATCAAACAATGATATAAGCTATTGCAAACTTTTGTTTAGTGAAAGTATATGCGTCGCTGAGTTGTAACACTAATGTTTCTTTGGTTACATGCTAATTTGTATAATCAAGATTTTTATCACGCTCTTTAAAATCTTTATAATCTATTGTCATTGGTAAATTTCTTTAGATTTTGGTAGGTTTAAAGTGCCTGAAATACAAATTGTTTTTAATTATCATCTTTATTTCTTTGATGCCTGTTTTGTCAAAACGTTTAAGTCCAATTTTGAGAGACGTGTTAATCTTCAGCTTTTGTAATATGTTCATCTGTTGCTAGGATATTTTTGTTGGGATAGATTACCATTACAAGTTTGATTAAAACGATGTTTCAGATGTATCAAACTAGGATGCTGTCTGGCCTTGCAATGCGGTGACTTGGTGCTTTGTTACGCATTAGTGGACACTGTTTTGTCTGTGGCGGTTTTGACTTGATTACCTGAGGATGACACAATCGGTTGAACTCTGTTTCGTGCTCTGAACAATCCTACCAAAATCTCCCGGAACTTTCTGTTCAAGAAAGAAAAATAAACGTTTTGAAATCGGATTATTGACTAGCTGACAAATATGGAATTTATAAACTGTTTATATATCACGTTAAGAATTGTCTCGTTGCGTTTTAGTTAACATTTACAACTTCCGTCACTGAACAGGCCTCGAGGTTATAATTTTTTTTTCAAAGTTCTGTCTCAAATTACCGGAATTTCATTGGTCAGTGAACATACCTTGACAGTTTCGGACCAATCAAATACCCGAGATCTGAATTTGAGCTTTGATAAAAAAATTTTAACCTCGATGACAGTGGTATACACAAACCGAGCCAGTATCATTTTAATATTGCCCTTTTTGGGCGTTCTTTTATGTTTCTATTTGTTCTATATTTCATTAAAATGTTACTTCTTCCTCTTAATTATATTTACTTTAAAAACTTACTTCTTGAAGCAGAGGTAAATGATGCATGAAGTACTCGAGTGTGAGTGTGCCAGTAATGTTGCGAAAAGGTGCACCTCCAAGGAAAACGTGTCGTTGGCATCTAAGACAAGCACGATGACGTAAGGCGTCCAACAGACAATGAAAACCATGAAAATTGTAATCAGAATCTTTGCCGAGCTTATGCTACTCTTCAATGTAGAGTTTGTTCTAAAATAAACAAATATCCGATTAGACATATTATACTAAAATTACATGAATATGTGAAGTATTGAAATAAAGCGAATTAACTGCTTTTTTTTTCGTTGTCAAGTTTAACTGAATTAGATATATTTTCAAAAGTTTGACCTTTATAATGATAATGGTTATTGATCTATAATTAATAATTCATAATGTTTAGAATAAAATATAAAAACTACTTAAATTATAAAAAGACTGCCTTAATCCTTTTACAAATTATGTATAGTTAATATGTAAAGATAACACAAGTTCTTGTATAGTGCGTTATAGAGGATATTTAATGAGTGTAGGCTCAATACTGAATTTATTGAAAAAAGTTCAATTAAATTTTATTATGCGAGCCTCTGACGATCAAAATATTAGTTTATTCTACGAGTTCATGAATAAAACATTCTATTTATCACATACCCAAAATAAAGACTGTTTTAAGTGCAAAAGAATCATTATTTTTTTTCATTGACGCGACTATATAGATTAACGCTAACATTTAGCGCGTCTTTACACTATGTTTTTATAACGCAAAAAAAACGTCACGTCAAAATATATACACGGCCATACAATACCACTTTTATGGAGTCGCAAAATCGGCACGGGTATGTGATGAAAAATATATGAACTAGATCTACAATTCTTGCATATCAGACTGGCGTTTCCGTGAGTTTTACCCATGCCGGAAATTTCATCTGGCATGGGGGGGGGGGGTTCCAGATGAGTCGCGTGCTGTACAATGTCACGGTTAGGATGACGTCATTTTACCGTTATGAATGAAGTTGTAATTCATACGCTGTTGTAAGAAAGTAGTTACGGTTGTAATGATATAAATTTTCATTGAAAATAAAGATAAAGAATTTAATTTATAATGGAATATGTTAGAATATGCAAGAAAAAATATCTGACATATGTTTGCGGTTCGGATCGGAATATCCGTCCCTCGGTCACCCGCCCATGAGCCGATCCGAACCGCAAAATATGACAGATATTATTAATATAACAGATTTTAATTATCACGACAGTATGTACGATTTTTGAATCAGCTTGCAAGATATCAAAAATGCATTAACGGTAATAAAGACGTTATTTGATTACCCTAGTCTTTTATCCATAAAGAAACAAAACTCACCCTGTTGAAAACTTCAGAACATTTTTTCTGACATTCCGAATCTTCATAAGTACGGCTGTGTTACAATACGCCAATAAGAAGAATGGTGACGTGATGAGACCAAGGGTTACAAACAATGTGTAACCTCTGTTGGCCGTTCGGTCCCATATACACTGGTGAGACTTCTCGTCAAAGTAGTGTCCACCCAAACCAAAGAAATTGGGCAGCTCTGCGCCAAAGCTTAATACCCAAGTGGCAATACAAGAGCAATTGTGGTTATTTTTGTATATCTTTCATAATCTTTGTGGAAGATAACATCCAGCGGTTTATGAAAAACGGCGACGAAAGGGAAACAACTTGACGTGTCAAGATAACGGGCGACGAAACGCAAAACCTGCTTCCCCATTGGGGTAACCCATGCCTAGAAACGCACCTGAAATAATTTGAAGCATAATTCATTTTTTCCAGCAGTTAATGAGTGGAAAAATATACTACTATATAATCAAATTATGTAATGCATATGTAATGAGATACCTAAAAGAATGTGAATCCCGGCAGGGACTGTGGATTCTTTCACATGAGGAAGCTATCAAGCTAGCTCACGGAACGACGGTGGTTCTACTCAGGTGCCCGTTCGTGTCTGAAGTAATGCAGGGAAGGGCACAAGGGATCTTCCTCAACAAGTAAAGCGTGAACGTCGCCAAATGACCTATCCTGTGTCTGTGTGGACGTAAATGATGAATGGGGGGGATCCACTTTCAATTGTTTACATAATGACGTAATCATGTGTTCACTTAAACAATAGAATGGGTGACACACGTGTGTCACGAATAACAATAGAAAGCTTAGCACACAAATGTTTTAATCCCGCCAAAATAAAATGGATGCCTTATTAGATTGAAATAAAAAATGGCGCACTGTTTCTCCATAACAAAAGAAAACGAAACATATTTGTAGGGGTCACATAAATATGGTCTAAAGTACACAATAGAAAAATGTTACCATAAAGGATTAACTAATTCGGTCAAATTATACAAAGGAAAACTATAATCAAATTATTGGTTTAAACTATGAAAAGAAAATTAGGACAAAATATTATTAATAAGTCTGGACCAGCTGTGGTCAACTCATCTAATAAGCTACTCTAGTATCTAGTATTTCTTCTTCTTGATATTGTATTTTACTATCATCAGAAAAATGTAAAGTTTAATCAATTGTTCACATAATGACTTAAGACTGTGTACTTTATAACAATAGAACAGGTAACACTCCAAAAAACGCAAATGAGCAATCAAAATGAGCATATGAGCAACTAAAATGAGCGACTGAGCAAGGAAAAATGAGTAAATGAGCAATCAAATGAGCAAATTAGCACCCAAATCGAGCAAATGAGAAACCAAATGAGCAAGTAAAATGAGCAAATGAGGAACCAAATAAGCAACCAAATGAGCAAGTGAGCAAGTTAAATGAGCAAGTTAAATAAGCTAATGAGCAACCAAAAAGAGCAAATGAGCAAGTAAAATGAGCAAATGAGCAACCAAAATGAGCAAATGAGCAAGTAAAATGAGCAAATGAGCAACCGAATGAGCAAATGAGCAAATGAAAATGAGCAGAATGAGCAAATGAACAACCAAATGAGCAAATGAGCAAGTGCAATGAGCAAATGAGCAACCAAATGAGCAAATTAGCAAACAAAATGAGCAAATGTGCAACCAAATGAGCAAATGAGCAACCAAAACGGGCAAATGAGCAACCAAAGGAGCAAATGAGCAACCAAAATGAGCAAATGAGCAAGTGAAATGAGCAAATGAGCAAGTGAAATGAGCAAATGAGCAAAAGAGCAACCAAATGAGCAAGCAAAATGAGCAAATGAGCAACCAAATGAGCAAATGAGGAACCAAAATGAGCAAATGAGCAACCAAATGAGCAAATGAGCAAGTAAAATGAGCAAATGAGCAACCAAATGAGCAAGTAAAATGAGCAAATGAGCAACTAAATGAGCAAATGAGCAAGTGAAATGAGCAGATGAGCAAGCAAATGAGCAAGTGAAATGAGTAAATGAGCAACCAAATGAGCAAAAGAGCAACCAAATGAGCAAATGAGCCAGCAAAACAAGCAAATGAGCAAATAAAATGAGCGACTGAGCAAGCAAAATGAGTTAATGAACACCATATTGAACCACTTAGCAAGCAAAATAAGCAAATGAGAAACGAAATAAATTAGTTGGGAGTATAAAAAGGAGAATTGGCATTAATTTTGCCATTTGATCGCTTAGAATAATGGTATTCACATGTCTTTTGTGTTATAAAAAATTCATTAAAAAATTTCAATTTAAATAGGCATTCAATCTCAACATTGGAAGCAGTAAGTTGCAAATAAATTTTAGCGATGGAAATAACTCAGTTTAGGAACCCAAATTTGTAACCTTATCTATATGAAACCCTTTTTGGACGGGTTGGGAAATAATTTTGTTTCCCAAAAACTCAAACCCTTAGAAGAAGGGCGATGACAGTGAACAAAATAAAAGACGATGAAACTTCTATATAGGGGAAAGCAATGGGAAAAAAAATTTTTTTGTGTTAAAAAGAACAAAATATTGCATTGGAAATTTTTCAGAGTAACAAAATTTAAAAAGGAGATACGTTTTTAAAGAAAAACCAGTAAAAAGGCGTAAAGAACCCCGATAGCTCCTTGAAAAAAAGAAGAAAGGTTTTTAAAAAATTCGTCCGTGGGAAACTAAAGCTTCAGAGAAGTTTATTTGGTTTTTTTGGGAAAAAAGTATGCACTTTAGCGCAAACCCCCATAAAAACATGGGGATGTTTTAAAAAATTTTAAGAGAAAAATTTTGAGAATGATGAAACTTCTAGTATTTTTTTGTTAAAAAAAAAAAATTTTTGTTAAAAGCGTGTTAAAGGGCAAGTACCCAAACCAAATTGAAGAAAAATTTGATGTTTGATGTATGATGATGTTGTAATGATTTATGGGTGCAGTGAAAAAACAACTGTAGTGATAAAAAAAATGACTTTTATAAAAAAGGGAAAAATTATTTAAAAAACATGTAAAAGTTTTTTTATTTATTCTACTTTTGGAAAAACAAAAGGAAAAAGTTGTGGGGGTAAAATTTTTTGAAAAAAAATGGTTTTTTTTAAAATTTTTTTTTGGGGGGTTTTTTCTTTTTTTTTTGTTTTAAATTTTTAATCCTTTTTTAAAGTCCAACTAATCCATGTTGCGCCTGGGTGTATATAGTTGAAATGCAAAAAAAGTTATCTGGAGGGAGAAATCTAGTCAAGGGTATGTGAAAACGTGACATAAAAATCTATCACCAAATAGCTGTTTTTGCTCTGATGATATTTTTGAATATTAAGTAAAATCCATATTACCACTTCAAGCATGTCAGGAAAATAGTTATATACTGTCGGCAACTATAAGGAAGAACTCGTTTTTAATGGTGGATAAGAAGTGAGTAATTTAGGGACACACCTGTATACAAAGGGCTTACTTATTGACATGAAATTAAAACTTTTAATTATTGTTTCTTTCTGTTAACAAGTCATAAAAAGGACCAATGTTTATCTTGGCGCTGACATCAATTTCACAGATGTTAAAAATCTGACGGCTCATTGCTATACAAATTCCAAGGTGATGACATTATTCACTTCAGTGTTGAAATGTAAGATTTAATTTGGTTTCTTCGTTCTGGCAATTAACAGCAGAAAATGTTTAATTTTTGCTAGAATCAAAATATAAAAAATAAGAATGTGAATAAAAAAAAGTTTCAGTACAATGTATATAATTTTAGGTTGTAATTCCTATCCTCGCTTAAAAGTGGTAAATCAAATCATTTAAAATTTCTCCATTGAATAAATGAATGTTCATAACTGATCCGAAACATCGACACAGAAAGGCGTCCCTTTGTGGATTTATTACCTGGTTGAAATATATGTTACATCTGGGGTCATACTGGTCATACATCCTTAAAGGATTGTTTTGTTTTATCAGGTAACCACATTGTCTGGTTAGAGTTTAAACCATAAATATGATAAAAGCAAGATTTACTAGTGGTAAAAAAAATTTATTTTCAAAATTTAAGGGTTATTCAAAAGAAAAAATTTGGTTTTTTTTTCCTAATGAGTTCTAAGATAAAGTAGGTTGGGAAAAATTAAAAAACAGGCCCCAAAATTTTATTTTTTAAAAAAAAAATAATTTGGGGAGAATTCTAAAAAAAAGGGGAAATTTTTTTTGTAATTTTATCCCATCTGCTATCAAATTTTATTTAAATTTAAATGCTTTGGAAAAAAAACGTAAAAATTTTTAGATCGAGCCTTGTTTAACGCAGAGAAATTTTTGGGTTCAATGAGAGGTTGATTTGTTGGGCCCGGGTTGTGTGCGTATTTTAAAATTAAAGAAGAGAATTATTACAACAAGGGGGCATGGTTTTTTTCTTTTCAACAAAGTGCAAAAAAATGACATGTCCCAAATTTTGGAAAAAAGAAAAAAGCGGGCCCCATTATATTATAAGAAAAACAATAAATTTAATTTTGCATTTACATGTATAAGATTGACTATTTTGGAGTGTTACCTGTTCTATTGTTATAAAGTACACAGTCTTAAGTCATTATGTGAACAATTGATTAAACTTTACATTTTGCTGATGATAGTAAAATACAATATCAAGAAGAAGAAATACTAGATACTAAATTAGCTTATTAGATGAGTTGACCACAGCTGGTCCAGACTTATTGATAATATTTTGTCCTAATTTTCTTTTCATAGTTTAAACCAATAATTTGATTATAGTTTTCCTTTGTATATTTTGACCGAATTAGTTAATCCTTTATGGTAACATTTTTCTATTGTGTGTACTTTAGACCATATTTATGTGACCCCTACAAATATGTTTCGTTTTCTTTTGTTATGGAGAAATAGTGCGCCATTTTTTATTTCAATCTAATAAGGCATCCATTTTATTTTGGCGGGATTAAAACATTTGTGTGCTAAGCTTTCTATTGTTATTCGTGACACACGTGTGTCACCCATTCTATTGTTTAAGTGAACACATGATTACGTCATTATGTAAACAATTGAAAGTGGATCCCCCCCCATTCATCACGTAAAACCCAATCAAACAGACAAAAAATCTTAAAGAATGAGAAGACAGTCTAGATGATGACGATGATGTTGATGATGATGATGATGATGTTTGTTGTTGATGATGATGATGATGATGATGATGATGATGTTGATGATGATGATGATGATGATGATGATGATGATGATAGTTTAGGATGACAATTGTCACAGACGTTGACACCAAATGTCATATAAAATTTGATTTAAATATTAAAAAGGACTGCTTTTACAGAAAGATGTCGATTTAATTTCTTACATACAATAACGAAATAGACTTTCTATTAAATGTTTTACATAAAGTAATGCATGCAATACTTTTTTATCAATACGTGCGTCACGTATAAACTGTGCAAAGAAACAAAATGGTCAGCAAAATAATTTAACACACCCGCTATGCACATCGGATCAGCAATCCCCGACACGCACAGATCAGCAACGGCCAAGTTTATAATGAACGCTCGTGCATCTTTGTTCATGTGTTTCTCTTTCTTCATCACGTAGATAACGAACAAGTTGCCGAATAACCCGAGGATGGACAGTATCAACACTAGTGTGACATAGACGATGGCCATGGAGAAATTGATGTCAAACAGCGTCATGCTTCCTTTCGGACTCGCCTCCAAGGCAGTGTCGTTTGTCTGAAATTAAATATAAAAATATTGTGTTGTTTTGTTGCTCTGAGTAATGGGCCCTCGAAATAATAGATTACGATACATTAAGAAACGAAAACAATAGAAGGAAAAACAACATATGATATGCTTATAGACGAGAAATAAATTAATGGGCTCTAACAGGTTGGGTTGTGAAAAATGAAAACACCGTTAACGCATAAAACGAAAATAAACAAAAAAAAAACATATGTTCAGCAGTTAAATAACATGTGTATTATTATATAAAAGCAGAACTACTGCCTTTATGAAAACGTTTAATAGTATATCTGAATTTCTCAGAAAAAAAAATCATCCAACTCAGATATCAGTTTAGTCGTTTGTATTTGAGCCGTGTCACAACAAAACCAATATAATGGGTTTGCGACCAGCATGGATCCAGACCAGCCTGCGCATCCGCGCAGTCTGATCAGGATCCATGCTGTTCGCTATCAGTTTCTCTACTTGTTATAGGGTCTGTAAGCGAACAGCATGGATCCTGATCAGACTGCGCGGATGCGCAGGCTGGTCTGGATCCATGCTGGTCGCAAACCCATTATGTTGGTTTTGTCATGACGCGGCTCATTTATATATCACAATTAAATGATACGTAACATAATTAATTTACATTTATGTCCTCATAATAATTATAAAAAAACAAAACATATTGTAACTTACACTTTATGTTTTAATGACAAAAATATATAAGGAAAATAATAATTAAAAGTGAAAAGCAATCTTTATGTATTCTCGTTAAGCAAATATTGCTTCTGTTTTCTGACAAAGCGTGCTAAAAAGAACGCCTCGTTGATCATTAACCTAAATTGTCTTATTCATGGTTCTAGAGGAAGCGTGCTGAAAAGATCTTTTCGTTGATTATCAACCTAAATTGTCTTATTCATGGAGGAAAATATTGATGAATGATAAGCACCAGTTAGATATTGGTGATATAAAATATCATATTTCACAACTGCTAATGAAAATATGATAGATATACGTCACGTGACCGTCACATAAAACGTTACAACTCAACAGTGACATAATGTTAGAAAATGACGCGTATGCCTTTCTGGTAATAACAATGATGAAAAATGGTAATGAAAAAATCTGTAAAGAATAAGTGTTTATGTGAGAAAAACATTAAAAAGAGTCAGCCATATTATCAATAGCGTATCGTTTTTTCTAAAGAAGTAGCTAGGCTCGTAATTTACAGTCGTTTTTAATCTTTTTTTCGGAATATTAAAGCCCAATATGCCCCATTAATGCTTTCATTTCTATTTCTCAAAAAAAAAAAATATATTTTTGGTATTCTTTTATATAGTTTCCAACAAGTTACTCATTGGCCAATTACCTAACTATCTTCTTCTTCTGTTACGTTTTGGCAATAATTGCATTTATTGTAATTTAGTGTTTTGTATGGAAGTCAAAATACTTTACTTACAATTTGGTACTTTTATGGCATATTGTTTTCTATTTAGCAATATTTTCTTCAGGTAACAAGCATCTAACATTCTCTTAAACCATTATTTAAATGTTATAAAACTCACGTTTGATCTTTCTAATTAAATATTTATTTAATTCTGAGGCATAATGTGCCTTTAACATCGATTTAGTTTTAGTTTGAGCCAGATGCTTTACAAAATATGGTCTTAATGATAATTTATATAAAATATCTATTGTAAAATAAATAATTTTATTATATGGCTTTCTTTATTCTTTATTGTTATACAGAACAAAACATCCATCACTTATTTGTTTCAATATTTTTAAACAAAACTTTCAAATTATTACATTTTAAGTTTAAAACATTTTTATTCCAAATATCCATTAGATATTTCGTGAATTTCTAATTAACCTATTTAATACAACAACAACCGGGGTTTAGGTGATAATCTCAAAACTAAAATGTCACACAATTTGAAACATATTTGAGCCGCGCCATGACAAAACCAACATAATGGGTTTGCGACCAGCATGGATCCAGACCAGCCTGCGCATCCGCGCAGTCTGATCAGGATTCATGCTGTTCGCTATCTGTTTCTCTACTTGTTATAGGGTTTGTAAGCGAACAGCATTGATCCTGATCAGACTGCGCGGATACTTCATGTACATGTACCATGCTTTGAATTTGTTATGCAAATTGTTTCCGAGCAAATTACGTATAATACAGAACAAATCATTTCGTAAGCTCGGACAACAATATGCAATTTATAAGTTTAGAAACTTATAAATTTCGAAATCGGTCTTTTATTAACATTTGGTTACATTGCAATAGTCTTTGACAATGTGTCGAAAGAACATGTTTTAATACCCGTTCTACTAATATTCTGACATCTTTTAAAAATAAATACTAGTATGAAATAAAAGAGAAATTATCTTGCAGGTCAATGTATTATCATTATAATCATTTGTTAACATCAACTTCTAATCGTTGTGACTATGGCATAATGTTATTATATTTATTATTCATGCACATATATGACATGTCTATTAGGTAATTAGTAAATATCAATTATACAAATAATTTTAATATCTAAAAGTAATGCTTGTTAAATCAATTAAATTGTGTTTGTCATAAATTAAATTGACTTAATGCAATAGTTGTTGTTGTTGTTTTTGAATGATGTTGTTGTTTTTTTATCTTTAAAATTAAGATATATCGAAAACACTTTCCAGGACTTATTTTCAGATATACCTATATGGCATGACAATTCGTGTATTCTACATATATAAATATTTATAATATATAATAATATTAGAAAAAAAAAGAATAATATAAATAATAATAAAAAGCAGTTAGCCAAAAAGAAAAAAAAGAAATAAAACAAAAAAGAAAAATGAAAAAGAGAAAATAAACAGAGACACGAAAAAAAAACATTTAAAATATACATGTCTATTCAAATTATTATAATAATCATTAGTATGAAGGATTACAGCATTTCAAATAAATCTATATTTAATCGGTAAACAATCAATCAGTCTAGTAAATTGACTTTTTATAAAACACTAAATTGGTTAGTGTTCATAAGAGAGGCTACGTCGTTCTTGACCAATGGTTACTAACAAACACTACCTATATATAATAATTTGATTAAAATAAAAGAAGAAAATTATTATAAAATAAACATTCTAACAACATACTATTATAGTGTCCATTTGTAGCAATAAAATCCTGCAAATATTGTTGTCACCTTGTTCTCTTGATTGGTAATTCACATATGTCACTAAGCGAGCACCTGTTCAGAATTTTATTGGAGATTTCGCTATATCATTATATAGCGCCATCCCTTAGGACTATCTACTCAGAATGTCCAATGGTTCATTTGAGTGCGAATAATTTCCATAAATAGTAAAATACGTTTGCAATTTTTCGAAATTATTATTACTATATATTATTACTATACATGCATTTATTAACAGCTCTTACAATTTACATGTAACCTCTCTCCAACGCCTGAGATATTGCACCTGAGGTCTCCCTCCACAAGTAAAACTGAAAAGTGGCCTGAGGTCTTCCTCTACAAGTAAAGCTGAAAGGTCGCCTGAAATAATGCACCTAAGGTCTCCCTCCATCAGTAAAGCTGAAAAGTCGCCTGAGGCCCCCCTCCATCAGTAAAGCTGAAAAGTCACCTGAAATAATGCACCTGAGGTCTCCCTCCATCAGTAAAGCTGAAAAGTCGCCTGAGGTCTTCCTCTACAAGTAAAGCTGAAAAGTCACCTGAAATAATGCACCTGAGGTCTCCCTCCATCAGTAAAGCTGAAAAGTCGCCTGAGGTCTCCCTCCATCAGTAAAGTTGAAAAGTCGCCTGAAATAATGCACCTGAGGTCTCCCTCCATCAGTAAAGCTGAAAAGTCGCCTGAGGCCCCCCTCCATCAGTAAAGCTGAAAAGTCACCTGAAATAATGCACCTGAGGTCTTCCTCCATCAGTAAAGCTGAAAAAGTCGCTTGAGGTCTCCCTCCATCAGTAAAGTTGAAAAGTCACCTGAAATAATGCAGCTGAAGTCTCCCTCCATCATTAAAGCTGAAAAGTCGCCTGAGGTCTCCCTCCATCAGTAAAGCTGAAAAGTCGCCTGAGGTCTCCCTCTACAAGTAAAGCTGAAAAGTCACATGAAATAATGCATCTGAGGTCTCCCTCCATCAGTAAAGCTGAAAAGTCGCCGGAGGTCTCCCTCTACAAGTAAAGCGGAAAAGTCGCCTGAAATAATGCACCTGAGGTCTCCCTCCATCAGTAAAGCTGGAAAGTAACCTGAGGTCTTCCTCTACAAGTAAAGCGGTAAAGTCACCTGAAATAATGCACCTGAGGTCTCCCTCCATCAGTAAAGCTGAAAAGTCGCCGGAGGTCTCCCTCTACAAGTAAAGCGGAAAAGTCGCCTGAAATAATGCACCTGAGGTCTCCCTCCATCAGTAAAGCTGGAAAGTAACCTGAGGTCTTCCTGTACAAGTAAAGCTGGAAAGTCGCCTGAAATAATGCACCTGAGGTCTCCCTCCATCAGAAAAGCTGGAAAGTCGCCGTATGACATTTACAGTGTAAGTGCGACGTAAAACAACAAAACATGAATGTATTTTAAAGCTAGATATTGCAAAGTGAACAATGACAGTAATTAACATATTGCAAGCGGCACTAACAAACTAGTACATTACCAAAAGCGGTCAAAATATGCAAGAAAATACACCTTACTGCGTTAGTAACGCTATAGAATTATGTTGATTAATACTGCAAAATCAGTCATAAATCGCACTTAACAAGTAATCGATTCTTAATCTTTTTACTGTTCTTAAAATCTTAATTCATGTTTCTCAAGTTTTGATTCTTGAAATATTTGGCTCATCTGATGGCGCGCAGCTTTAATGAGAAAGTAATGATGAGACAGAGGGGGGGGGGGGGGTCACGTGTCATTTGTTTATGGTTTCGCTAATTTTTTGGAACACCTTTCAATATTTGAGTTGTAAATGCATTCTATATTCTAGATAAATATATGCCGATAATATGGGTATATAACTTTCCATTGTAGCTCCTTTACTTTTCCGGTAATACATTTACTTGCAGAATATTTTCATTGAAAATTATAGTCACTATTTCGGGAAAAGTACAAATGCTACATTATAAAAAGAAGAACCATTGGAATATGAAAATATTTGTATAGAACATGCTATAGTTTATTATTCAAATATTAAATGAATTAACGAAAACTTAGCTAAAACAATTACTGATGGCCCAATATTACCGTAAACAAATGTCAAGTGATCACCACCATACTACGTGGAATATGACGCTACTTTAATAAAGGTGTGACATACGTATATGACGCATTTTTGCCTCGATTTTGTTTTCGAGGAACAAAGCACGCAACCTTTGACAGTTGTCAGAATATAAGATAATAATCAATGTAAATCTACATTTTAAAAATAAAGGAATAAATAAAATATAAACAGCAGTGATTCATTTTTATCAATTAAACATGTAGATCTATATCACTTCAAACATAAATCTGCGAAAGCACGCAACCTTTGACAGTTTGTGAGAATATAAGATAATAATCAATGTAAATCTACATTTTAAAATAAAGGAATAAATAAAATATAAACAGCAGTGATTCATTTCTATCAATTAAACATGTAGATCTATATCACTTCGAACATAGATCTGTATCAATGAAACTAAGCCTAGAAAAGCGACCAGATTTGTTTTCAAACTAGGATGTGAGCTGGGAAATAACAGTTATATTCACAAGTACTGGCATTTCCAAAAAATCTAGGTATCACCGTTCAGCCGAGTATTCGAAAACTATTTTTTTCCCGTTAGAACAATACTGTTTATTGTAGGAACATTTACACTCAGTCCAAGCTTCGTATAGTATAGTATATTACTTATATATATTATATAATTAAATATGTCAACTTGACAACCTGCCCCAGAAACAATGCGGTGGCTGAACTGTGCTGTAGTGAACTGAAAGTGGCTTTCTGCCGTGACCCGGAGGGTAAATTACCACCACGTGTACGTCGCCGTTGAGGGACGGGAACGGCGGCAATTAACCATATATTGCATCATTTCCTGTTGATGTGAGACAATATAGGAGTACGTGTTCCACATATTGTTGTGACTGTATAAAGTCTCAAAGGAATTATCGACCGTGCTTAAAGGCAACCTGCATCATATCAATAATAATAATTAGATTAAACAAATACATGTACAATATTTCACTTTAAATGTGCAGAATGTTAAAATATCATGTAATTCTATTCTAAGTAAGAAATCTATAATTTTCGTATAAATCCATGAAAATGAATGAAGTTTCATATAAATCAATATCTTGTAGAATGCAATCGTCAGTAAATTTACCTCAATTTCAATTTTATCTTTATTATAAATCAGTTTGTGTAAATTAATTTTAAAAAAACGCATCACAGTAACTTTATTTATCAGTATTATAAAATACATGTGTATTTTCAATTAGATCTGTTATAATATTTTATCAATTTAGACGAAACTACATGTATAAATATACAACGATTCTTACGAAACCGTTTAAACAAATTAAAAAAGCAATTGCATCGTAGTTTTGGGATCTTTCTGAGTTAAGTCGTATACACATACATGCACAGTGCGTTAACTGGAGTGCAGGTATTAGTTACCCGCCCTTTGATTTGCCCATTTTTTCTGCGACGACAGAGAAAGCGATAGCGATAGCAATATAATTTTCAGATGCTTGACCATTGGTTACTTTTTTCTGGGGTTTCATTTTGTTACTACAGGGAACGTGTTTTTGTTTTTGCCTGTGATACAAAAGAGAAATAATAAAAAAAAATACAAATTTTATGAATATTGTTTTCTTTTCTTTTTTTGTGTTTTATGTGCTATTTTAATACTGAGTTTTTATGTTTACTACTCTTTTTTTATTAAAATTGTAAAATAAATTTCAAGAATTCAATTGTCATATTGACCGACGATTATAAGTCAAAACTTAACTGGAAAAAGTCAGTAAATTATGGTTTATCTTTCAATATATAATATTGTTTATTCTTAGACCATGTACATGTACATTTGTATTTTTTCTTTATCATTTTTTAAATTATCAATCAATTGAATAATTCATAAAATCTAATTTGTAACTTTGAATAATTCCTCGGCATCTTTACTAAACACGGATAACAAATTAAATAAAATGTTTCAAAGTTGATAATGTCATATTAATACCATAAAAATGTACTTTTTTCTCAATTATTGTACATATTTATTGTTTTTATCTCATATAGATAAAATGAAACATGCTATTGTTGTTGTTGTTTTTTTTTTTTTTAATTGTAACGATATCAAACATCTACTCCAAAACCGGGAGAGACCGGACAATAAACATGTTGTACAATTCGCCGGTCACTAGTAAATCCCGGTCAAATCAGACCGGGAGAGACCGGGAATTACCGATAGGAGCGATAAATAGATATATCTATAAATAGATTTTCGGAATATTTAGGTCATCAACTGATCATTCTAGGATACATGTACAACAATAACATACCATGATAACCAACTGTGTACTACAAACGATAAATAAATCAAAGGGCTGCAAGCTCTGTGGTATTTTCTGATCTTTGCAATCTAAATCATACTGACTATCTGTATGTATTTTCCTATATAGGTTTATGTTTATATACTATAATTCATCTTACGCAGCGACTGCGTTAAGATTTTTTTCTATAACAGTTTGAGATTGATACATATGGAATTTTGCATGACTAGAGTTGCATCAAAAATCATTTTTTATGACAGCCACACTTTATCCTTGCATATCGTGGCTATTCCTTAAAAAAGACACTTAAAAAAAGTTGCCTCGACTAGGATTTGAACCTTAGGCCTCTCACACCCTAAACGAGCGCGATACGAGCGCGATACCCCTGCACCACGGTGTAGTAATACGTAATATGTAGCCTGAATAAAAACAAATACATTATAATTCTAAATTGAGAATTTCCATTTCGTGTTTGTAATCCTTATCAATTTCGAGGTATTTTGTTCACGATAAACCTGTTTAACACTGATAAAAATAATTTAGCGAAAATCTTCCCGCCAAAACAGTCCGACATGTATATATTCCACTACTCGGCAGTCAGATTTATTTGTATACTACGCCCTGGAGTATTCAGTAATCGACATAGCTAAAAATAGCATTTTCATTGATTAAAATGATATTCATCCGCGAAATTTGTGAT